CTATTTAAAATTCACCCTAGGTCAGTCCCGCTTGCTGAAAAAGCCATGTCTTGAGGGCGCGGCGGAAGGTTAGGAGATCCGGAATCGTCCGGATCTCGGGGGGTAGCTCGTTCCAGAGGGTGGGGGCACCCACAGAGAAGGCCCTCCCCCTGGGGGTCGCCAGCCGACATTGCTTGGCCGACGGCACCCTGAGGAGGCCAATTTTCATATTCTGCTTTTGTTTTTTTAAAGTTTGCCAGCTGCCTTGTAGGCTTGCCAGCATGAAAGCAATTTATAAATAAGTGTATAAAAATAAAATAAAAAAACCAAATTGCTAACAAGTTTTCATATTTTTACATGTGTCTGTAGAACAAGAAAATAGTCGCAGCCTTTTCACTCCATTGTTAATTGGCTTTGGTGTAGCCGCAGGACTGATGTGTGTTATGGTCATAATCCTGGTTTATAAATATCTCCAGGTAAGAATTGTTTGTAATTTTGTCTTGTTAGAGTGCCATTTTTTTTGCTGCCACTGCATTACCAGTTTAAGTACTTAAAAAAAGTTACGTCTGTATTCCAGAAACCTAAATATGAGGTACAGTGGAAAGTGGTCGATGAAATTAATGGAAACAATTATATCTACATAGATCCAACACAGCTTCCATATGATGAGAAATGGGAATTTCCAAGAAACTGCCTCAGTTTTGGTTAGTTTGCAGATATTTAATCTTCCGGGCAATCAAATCATGCTTTTAGTACCCTTACACCAGTGATGACATAGTTTTAAAATATTTTCTTTTCCTAGTCTATGTTTTATTGTTTTAATTTACCAGTTCATTCCAGAGAAGGGATCCATCCTATGGTATCTCAGTACAAAGGCAGGATCAAGGGGCTAGGACAGGGATAGGCAACCTTGGCTCTTTTATGACTCGTGGACTTCAACTCCCAGAATTCCTTAGCTAGCCATGCTGAGGGGAAAGGGAGAGGTTTCCAAGCTGAGCCCTGCTGGCTCAGGAATTCTGGGAGTTGAAGTCCACGAGTCATAAAAGAGCCAAGGTTGCCTACCCCTGGGCTAGAATCAAGGGGCATCATTGGGCCAACACAATGCCAGCACCTTTTTGTAGGTGCACCTTGGATGTTGTATTCTTATTGTATGAAATCAACAGAGGTGATAGAACGTGCCTGGCTGAGGAATTCTGGGAGTTGAAGTCCACAAGTCATAAAAGGGCCAAGTTTGAAGACCCCTGATCCAATCAGTAAAAACCAAAATCAAAGTTTCATTTCCCCCCCTACCTCAAGCACAAAGTCCAGAAGCGGTTTCCAAGTAGAAACGAAAGTAATTGTGTTTCCCCCCCCCTTTTATCAAAGCAGTCTATTTAGCCATCTCTGCTAACTCCATCAGCTTTTGCAACCGTTCCTCCATTGTGGGGATCAAAGCGTCCCTCCATTTTTGTGCATCAAGTAATCTTGCTGCCCTCAACATCCATAACATCAAAGTTTTCCAAATCCTTTCTCCCACGTCTTTTCCCCTTAAACCCAACAGAAAAGTTTACATGAGGTCAAATTTTGTTGATAATCTGTTTGGAGGAAGCTTTGTGCTTATCTTTCACATTTTTGGGGGGCCCTTTTAGGCAAGATTCTAGGAGCTGGAGCTTTCGGGAAAGTGGTTGAAGCTACTGCCTACGGTCTATTCAAACCTGACGCGGCAACAAGAGTGGCAGTGAAAATGCTCAAACGTAAGTTCCTTGGATTTCCTTTAGTTTATTTTTAATATCTCTTCCCTTGGGCTTCCGAAAGGTTCATATAACCCTGTTTTCTTAGAGGGATTTGCCCTCAGAACCAACGCAGACATCAAGCACATATTATCAGCAGCCGAGTCGGATATCAATATCAGACAAATGTCTATGGAGATTCTCAGTTATCCAGGTCATGGTTGACCCATAGGTGCTTTTTCAAGGGGCAACTGGACTTTCTTTGTTTTTCCTTGAAGATGTTTCACTTCTCATCCAAGAAGTTTCTTCAATTCTGACCGCAGTCAGAGCTGAAGAAGCTTCTTGGATGAGAAATGAAACGTTTTCGAGGAAAACGTTATTCTCCAAAGCGCCTGAAGGCAGGACAAGAAGCAACGGATGGAAACTAATCAAGGAGAGAAGCAACCTGGAACTGAGGAGAAACTTCCTGATAGTTAGAACAATTAATCAGTGGAACAACCTGCCTCCATAAGCGGTGAATGCTCCAACACTGGAAGTTTTTAAGAAGAGACTGGACAGCCATTTGTCTGAAATGGTACAGGGTTTCCTGCCTGAGCAGAGGGTTGGACTAGAAGATCTCCAAGGTCCCTTCCAACTTATTATTATGGATCATCGCACAGTCATCCAGATGTTCAGACTGGATTTGGCATTTTGTCTACCTATCGAGTCCTTACCAAGGACCTGGGATAGGCAGATGTGGATGTTTAATGGTAATACAGAAATCGTCGCAGGATTGAAGCTGTTCCTAGTAAGGCTGCCTTTTGCAATTGACT